GAGAGATGGACAGAGACAATGAGAAGGAAAGGAGAAATCACTCTCTTGGGGGATAGCCACACCACAATCCTTTCACCTCCTTTCTCCTCCTAGGATTCTGGGCACACAAGCACATGCGCCAGGCATGATTTTCAAGCTGCCAGATCCAGGACTTGAACCACGGTCAGTTAACCATGTAGAAGTCTAGTGCCTTAACCACCACACCACCTGCTGGGCCCAAATTTTCCACGCACTTTTAAGTCCTCTCATACCTTTGTACAATACCATTACAATGAACTATGAAATAACTTTGACTGACCTTAAAAGACAAAAGACTCTTATAGTGGGTATTCTCTGAACATACCAGAATTTTAAATAATAAATCAATAACAATAAGATATCCAAGAAAAAACAAAGACATTCGGAGATTACACTTCTCATTCTTTTTAAAAAACTACCTTTAAATTTTTAAATTTGATTTTATTTTTATAAAGCAAACATTACAGAACTTTTTTTTTAAACAGAACTTTATAGTCTTTTTTCTGTTAAATGTTTCTTCCCTTTGCCCCTTGCACCCATCTCATTCTAAATAACATTTTAAATAACAACAGAAATCTCAAGGAAAATTAGAAAATACCTTTAACTGAATAATAGTAACTTTTAAAAAGTAGAAAGTGTCATTTTGAAAAGATTAAAGTGGAACACCCCTAGCAAGACTCTTTCTTCTTTTTTTGGAGTGGTTTTTGCTATAGGGAGCATGCGCTCGCCAGACAGAGAGAGACAGAGAGACAGAGAGCGAGAAATCACCCCCCGGGGGGATGGCCACACTACAATCCCTTCTCCTCCATTCTCCTCTTGGGCTCTTTGGCACCCATGCACAAGCGTCCGGCGTGAGTTTAAGCCACCGGGTCTGGGACTCAAACCATGGTAGACTACGTGGGAGTCCAGCGACATAGCCATTACGCTAACTGCTTGTCCCTTTTTTTCTTTTAGAAGGTGGAAGAGAAAGAGAAAAATAGCAATAGGAAAAAAAACCAAAAATGATCAATATTAGGAATGAAGAATGAGACATAACTACAGGTCCTATAGATATGAAGAATAAGAAGAGAATATTATAAGCAATATTATACCAATAATCTTAGCACTCAGTCATATAATAGAATACTTACAGGCAAGGACCTTAAGATCTCACCGCTGTTATCTTTGGTGAGGGGGTAGGGGGAGACAAGCACAAAAGAGTACATACTATGTAATTGTAAGATGTTCTAAAACTAGCAAAGGTAGTGTCTGATGACAAAATCAGATCGGTGGTTACACCTGGGGCAACAAGTAAGAATAATAAAATTGGCTCTAACAAGGTACCAAAGTTATTTTGAGGGTGATGGAAATGTTCTACTACTTGACTGTAATGGTGGTTACAGGTATATACAAACTGCCAAGTTTATCACACTACACAGTTAACATCTGAATTTTATTTTTTTATTTTTATTTTTTTGAGAGGTTTTCACTATAGGACGCGTGCGCTCGCCAGACAGACAGAGAGAGACAGAGAGACAGAAAGCGAAAAATCACTGCCCAGGGCGGGGGGGCAAGCCGCAACCCCTTCTCCTCCATTCTCCTCTCAGGATCTTGGGCACGCATGCACACGCGCCCAGCGTGAGTTTAAGCCACTGGGTCCGGGACGCGAACCACGGTCGACTACGTGGGAGTCCAGCGACATAGCCATTATACTAACTGCTGGTTCCCAACACCTGAATTTTATTGAATATAATTTACCACAAAAAAAAGTGGATATTTACAAAATAAATCAATTTTTAAAATACCACCTGAGCAGAAAACAATAAATTAAGTGAAAATTTTTAAAATTAATTTTGTTGAATGTATTTTGTGAGAGCTTCATATAAAATCTCAACAAGAACATAAAAATCATTGTAAAATTAAAAAAAAAATTTAAATACTTTAATTCTATTATACACCTTGTTAACAGGCTAGCAAGTAAAAACTATGGAGTAAGAAATATGCTAGATCCCATCATAAACTATACCTCACAAAAATTGGATCTTTCTTGGGACCAGCAGTTGATGTAATGGCTATGTCACTGGACTCCCATGTAGTCAACCGCAGTTTGAGTCTTGGACCCTGTGGCTTAAACTCACACCGGGCACGTGTGTGTGCGTGCCCAAGATCTCAAGAGGAGAATGAAGGAGAAGGGATTGCAGCATGGTCTTTCTGGCAAGTGCATGTGCCCTATAGCAAAAGCCTCTCAAAAACTAACAAACAAAAAAAATGCGGTCTTTCTTTCCTGATAAGAGCTAGCACAGTGCCTTGGGAAACAGTTGTGTTATAACCAAAAAAAAATCAATAAAACTCTAACTAGACTACCTGGGTTCTAATAATGACTCTGTGATTTATTAGCTTTATGATCTCAAGTGAGTCACTTAATCTTAAATTTTTTCATCAGCTTCAGGACTGATGTGAAGATTAAAAGTATCTAGTAAAGTACATCATAAACAGTTATTTTAGTCATAGTAAGTACTCAGTAGACACTGGTTACATGAAGACATGAAGCATATAAATACCACAGACAGGGAAAAAACAGACCAGAAGAGACAGAAAGAAAGTTTGCTTCCAGTCACATTTTTTTCTGTGGATAGGTAGGATAAAGAGTGAAGTATGATAGAGTTAGCTAATCTCCCTGAATGAATATACTTTCATATGACCTGGATCACAGCTGGGGTGACAGACACCTCAAGACTGGCTCAGATGTGACCGTCAGGAGTTTCTCAGCCTCACGTGCACAACCAACAGTGCAGCTACCATAAAGCACGTAGTACCAGCGATGCTGATATTTGTTTCTGAACTTTGGCTTTTGTTACCTGGCCTAACAACCCTCTGGTCCTGGGAAGGGCATGAAAGGGAGACTGTTTATGTACCCAAACTCCAAGAGGCTTGACCCAGATTCCTGAGTTGCAGTGGGTCTTCTACTACTGTGGGCCTCTGAAATGTCAACATCAGTGATCAACCACTGGTCAGCATTCCATTCCTTTTAATCTTGAGGTTTTTAGGAATTTTGTTCTAAATGAGGCAACCAGAGCAGATATTTGCTGGGTATATTAGCAGTGACCAGAGCAATAACACCTAGTAGGGTTCCAGGGTTCCAGGGTATGGTTCACTAAGTCTAACAGAGTATTCGAAACTACACAGGAGGGACCAGCAGATGGCATAATGGTCACGTTGCTAGATTCCCACATGGTCGACCGCAGTGCAAGTCCTGGACCCAGTGGTATAAAACTCACACTGGGCACGTGTGCATGCCCAATCCCGAGAGGAGAATAGAGGAGAAGGGATTGTGGTGTGGCCATTCTCTCTGGGGGATGATTTCTTATTTTCTGTCTCTCTTTGTCTCTCTGGTGCACGCATATGCCCTATAGCAATAATCTCTTTCTAAAAACAGAACAGAACAAAACAATACAAAAACAAAAACAAAAAACAAACAAAGACAAGAGTATAAAAATCTGAAGGGCAACTACAATGCATAACTCAGATTTAAGACCACGGATAGCAGGTATCTTCATCCTAATATGGGGCCCCTGGTGGGGCCTCTAGAAATTCAGTACTTAAATGATAGAGGTTTTCACAGCATGAATGACAGGGTGACACAAAGGGGAGATGATGAGCCAAGTGGTAGAGGAGAGAGTAGGAGAACTGGGATCTCTTAAGGAAATATCCCTGAAAAAGGGGTACCTGTGCTGAATCTAAAAATGTCAAGGGGTTATTTGGTCAAAGGCATTCCAGGCAGTGGAGCACAGCATACACAACTCAAAAGGGTTGGGTAGCGCCATCTGCACGGAACTGTCAGTAATTCCACGGTTGGAGCCTATGGCATGAAGGGAAAATGAGATGACAGAGGCAGGGTCTTAGAACAATGATTCCTAAGAAGGGTAAGAGTGGCCACAGGTAGCGTAGTGGTTAAGGTGCAACTAACCGTGGTTCAAGTCCCAGGTCAGCAGCTTGAAATCAAGCCAGGCACATGTGCATGTGTGCCCAAAATCCTGAGAGGAGAATGGAAGAGAAGGGACTGTGGTATGGCCATTCCCCCTGGGGAATGACTTCTAACTTTTCCTCTCTCTGTCTCTCTTCAGTGAGTGCACAGGCCTTATAGCAAAAATCTAAAATAAAAGAAAGAAAAAAAAAGGACTAAGGAACTTACACTTGATCTTGAAGATGAAGGGAAGCCATGGAAAGATTTTAAGCAGGTATACTACAATCAAACTAGCATTTTTACACTATCATTTGGGCAGCAGTGTGGAGAACAGATTAGAGGGGGACAAGCGTAGAGACAGGAAAACTAGGTGAAGTAATTCACGTGGAGGATGATGGTGGCCGAGAAGGCAGCCCTGAGAATAGAAAAAAGACATATTAACACAGAAAAGAGGTAGAAATCTCAAGATCAGTTCATGGATCTATGTGAAGATGAGAAAAGAACCAAGCATGACTCCTAGTTTCAAGCTCAGATGTCCAAACGGACCAACCTTCTGTTCATGGGGACAACCTACAAGTCAATCTACATTTGAAAGTGCAAAAAAACAATGATACTGCACGAAGTTTAAAAAACTTAACACAAACGAAAGCAGATGCTGCCTCAGATAGTACGAATACACACATCTCTGAGAAATATCAAAAGCTTAAATTCACAGAGAGGAATGTCAGAGTTAAAGAAATTCCTGTCTAAAATATGTTGATGAATGAATAATCAAAGAATAACACAGAAGGCAATTCACTAACAAGGGAGCCATCTACTGCCTGACAAGGATAGTGCAGCAATAAAAAGCCACAGAGTATGTGGGAAGAAAGCCAAGAGTTTGGGACCACTTCACACTTCACAAAATATCTGAAGCCCCTTCAAAAGATGCCAAGTGGTTAGCACTTTGAATAATAGCCAAATGCTTTCATTTACTTGTTTCTCCTAAAAACATCAAGGCAACATTAAAAAGAAAATCATTGGAATATAAAATGCTTACCGGCCATCATTGCTATCATACTGGCTTTATAGACATTCGTAAGAGATCCCAGTTCTCCTGTTGCCAATATGGTTTTGAGATGAGCCTCCCCACAGGCCTTGCGAAACTGACGAATCTCATCATACAGGGCTGCAGAAGAAAATAATTGAGGCACTTACAAAGCAGGCAAGTGATAACATAAGTTGGCAGCCGTTTAGAGCTGGTAGAAACTATTTTAGATTTAGGAAATATAAAACATTTGTCACTTTCTAAAAATCACCCCAATTTAATATTGCCTAAAGCATTCTGTTGCAGTTCACATCCTTTGACAAGGACTGCTTAGTTTGCTACCATGAAATCATTTTTAAGCCCTGGGCCAAAGTCCAGAGTCATGAAGCTTTTTTAATATCATTATAATGACATGCAAACTACAAATAATTTCTACCTCGTCCATACGATAGTTACTGAAAAGAAAAACAAACATATGTACTATACATACAGTCATGCACTATTTTCCAAAAGGAAGAGGAAAAAACATCCTTAGGTCCTTATGAATTGTTCCACGCACATGTAATAGGTTCTTTTGTAGGAATACAAAGAAGACCTTTCCTGAGAGCTCTGCTAATGACAATAAAGACATAACAGTTTGCCCCACTACCTGCCAGAGTATGTGTCTTAAGATGTGACTAAGAAATGTCAAGCCTAGCCAGGGAGCACTGGCTTACACGCACAGAGCCATCGATAAAGGAGCTCAGAGATGTAGCCTTGAATTGATTAACCCTAGAAGCCTCTGACGTGGGTCCCACATCTGACAATCTACAGCTCCATACAGCGCCCACACCTTGATATAAAAAATACATACATTTGAGACCAGCAGATGGCATTGTAGTTACGTTGCTGGACTCTTACATGGCCAGCCCTGGTTCAAGTCCCAGACCTGGTGATCCAAAATTACATCGGGTGTACATGTTTGCATGTCCAAGATCCTGGAGGGGAACTGAAGAGAGAAGGGATTCTGGTGCAGCCACCCCCTCAGGGGTGATTTCTTACTTTCTCTCTCACTGTGTCTATCTCCCTCTCTAGTAAGCACACACGCCCTAAGGGAAAAAAAAATCTCTAACACACACACACATTTATACCCTAAAAGTTAAAAAGAACATGTAACAAAATAAAATGGAGGGGGAAAACATGTCATATTCAAGATAACAGGATTTCAGTAAACAAAAGAAACCCTATGACGAATATGACATTTCTGAAAAACTGTTAGCAGTCCCTTATCAATGACACCAGGAGACAGGCATTTACCCTGCATAAGGCTGGCCACCCTCACTGCTTAAACTCAGGCTACTGTCATGCTATCAGAACCTAGATAGGACCTTATCTCTCGTGTGTGTGTGTGTGTGTGTGTGTGTGTGTACTTCATAGCAAGGAGTCTTACAGGCACATGGATTAAATTAAGGAGAGAAATGTTCATAATAAGGAACAGGGTGAGCATTTTTTATAATTTTTTAAAAAATTTAACTTCATTTATTTTAATTTGAACAGAGAGGGACAGAGTTAAAGACGAAGTGAGAAAGCAAGCCACCAGGTGCGAACTCAAACCACAGTCGGCCATGTGGGAGTCCAGCACCTTTAACCACCTGTCGGCCCCAGGGTGAACATTTTTTAATGCTAAGATGAGAGTTTAATAATTAAGAAGTCAGGGGCCAGCAAGTGGCATAGTGGTTAAGGTACTGGACTCCCACACAGATCATCACAATTCGAATCCCAGATCCGGCTACTTGAAAATCATGCTGGGCAGATGTGCATGCATGCCCCAAATCTCAGGAGGAGAATAGAGAAGGGATTGCAGCATGGCCACCCCCCCCAGGGGGTGATTTTCTCACTCTTTCTCTCTGGTAAGTCAACATGCCCTATGGCAAAAACAAAAAGAAAACAAAACAAAACCAAGAGAGAGAGAGATTTATCAAAATACTAAAAGACTTAAATTTAGTATTAAGACAGCAAACTCAAAAGTTTAATAAAATAAACAAAACTTGCCTTTTTAATCCTAGAAAACCTTAAGTTAACTTGAAGCTCGAAAGTGAAAATTGAATTCAAATAAAAGCAAGTATTCTATGATAAGATGCTTGGTAAAATCAGAATTTGTTACGGCCATAAGATGGGACCTACAGGCTTTTCAAGAAAGAACTGAATATTTTCACAAATCCTTATGAGTGGGTAGTTTGGATCTGAGGTGCCACACTGCCTACCCTCCCCGTCCATTCTACTTAGCCTGTGAGAAAATCATCTTACTTATCCATCCAATCTGACAACTTGTGTACAAATGTTATAAACAGCCACAGACTATGTAGCAATAACAATTTATATTCTTTTAACTCAGAGAATGAATCTGAGGTGGAATGGCAATGCTTGAGTTACTGAATCTGAAAAAAAGAAAATTGTTCTCTAAGAACAAGCGATAAGGAAACCTCCTGATCTACGAAGTCAAGAATGTTAATTCAGAGTTAAAACTTGTGTTTTAATTAATAATTTTCTAACGCAATCCAGTGTTATCAAACAGATCCAGACAAATGTGGATTTAAACCCCAACTACTTCACGGTTCTGTGAAATAATAGACAAGTTAATTCTCTCAGCCTTGGTTTTGTACTTGAAGTACTAACATTTACTTTATAAGGTTATTATGAGGTAAAAGAGAAGATATATATATATATAGATAGATAGATAGATAGATAGATAGATATAGACATAGATACACACACACATACACACACACATACTCACATGCATATGTTTCAGCTTCAGTTTTATACTAAGAGTGTCAATAATATTTACTTTATAGGGTTATTATGAGGGTTAAAAGAAAAGAGGTGTGTGTTTGTGTATAGATATAGATATAGATTCATAGATAGATAAATAGTATTTTGCACACTGTCTGACATATCATAAGAGCTTAAAAAGTTTAATCATTAAGTTCAAAATTCTAATTACATGAGTTCCCATTAAGTGTTATGTGATAAGCATCAAATCTTATTTTAGGCCCGACCTAACTTTCATACCAACAAAATGTTGTTGTATGAATTAGCACTTACAATCGGAGAGCCATCAAATAAGGTCTGAAAATATTTTATTACAGCATTTATCAAATTGAACTTCAGCCTGTATAAAAAAATTTTAAAACACTGCTCAGACCCTACTTATCAAGGAAACCACACTATCTTTTTGTCTAAACAGAACTGCTACCTGTTTATACGGAGTAAATTTCCTTTTTAAAAAAAATTGTTTAAATTTAATTTTATTTATTGTCCTTATTTTATTTTATTTTTTTGAAGTTGACCAGAGGGAGACAGAGAGAAAAGGAAAGTGAGAAAGCAAGCTGCCAGGTCTGGGACTTGAACTGTGGTCAGCCATGTGGGAGTCCAGTCACCTTAGCCACTATGCCACCTGTCAGCACCCTGAGTGAATTTCTTTACCACCTGTTAAAATTACCAGAAAAACAGTTGTATTTTGTATTTAACAGCCAACTGGAAGTTATGCTATGTGCTTTAATCCATGATCCAAACAGAATGAACCTAAGGTGCCCACTTAGACCTTAAATGGATTTAACAAACGAGCAACCAGTGTCTTCTTTCACTGCCAGTTCCTCAAATCATTTTACTGATCTATTTCACCCCACAGCAGGATCAACTTTTTCTGAGAAAACATTTAGAAGTTGTTGTTTCTTTCTGTTACCACTGCCAGAATACACCGATATAATTAAATCAAAAAGTATACCAAATATAGCCATTTCTCAAAGTGACCTGCGCTTCAACAAGTGATTGCTTCTATGCAGGTCTCTGACTCTTACTGAATGATGCTAGGCTGAAAGAACAACTAGATATTTTCTTTATGTTTTACAATTTTATTTACTTATTTATTTAATTGCCAGAGGCATATGTGCTCACCGGAAAGAGAAAGGAAGAAAGTAATCCCCAATGGGGAGTAAGCATGCTGCAACCCCTTCTCCTGTTGGATTTGGGGACATACATGCACATGCACCTGGTGCATTTTTTAAGGCCACATGGGCCAGGATTCAAATCAGAGCTCACCATGTTAGATCCTGCTTTCTTTTTCTTTTTTTCTTTTTTTTTTTTTGAGAGGTTTTCGCTATAGGGCGCGTGCGTTCGCCAGACAGACAGAGAGACACATAGAGACAGAAAGCGAGAAATCACCCCCCAGGGGGGATGGTCACGCCACAATCCCTTCTCCTCCATTCTCCTCTTGGGATCTTGGACATGCACGCACATGCGCCCGGCGTGAGTTCTAAGCCACCGTGTCCAGGATGCAAACCGCGGTTGACTACGTGGGAATCCAGCGACATAGCCATTACACTAACTGCTGGTTCCCGGATCCTGCTTTCTTAACCACTACTCATGGGACCAGCCTTGCTATTTTCTTTATGATTTCAGCAACAACAATAGCAGCATATCCAAGAGCCCAGAGATCCTGTGGCCGGCCACCAGCAACAGTATGGAACCTGTGCTGTCCAGTGGCAGCAACACCAGCAACAGGCCTGTGACCAAAGTCTTCCTGGGGCACAATCTTGCTGTAGCCTCTGCTTTCCAATCTTGTATAGTGGCACTTGTTTCCAAGCCCAGACCTCTAGGCTGCCAATGTCTTCCTCATCAAGCCTCTTCCAGCTTAATATAGTAAGGAGTGGTTTCATCCATTTTCAACTCAGAGCTCTTGTACAACAAATATTTACTGAGGAAGTATGGTTCAGCGGACAATAAATAGTGTGGGCTCCCTCATCTACCTGGGGTTCCTACCCAGGTCTCCCATTAATTTGTAGTTTGATTTGGGTAAGTATTAAACTCTTAACCTTTATCCTAGGATTTTACCTATACAATGGAGATGAAAACATGTACACCTCATGAAGATATTAGGAGCATTAAATAGGCTAATGCATACAAAGTGGTAAGGGCAGTATCTACACATAACTGATGCTCAAAGAATGGCAGATACTTGTTTTCCTATTGTTGGTAGTGGTGGTGGTGTTGATACTGGGATTGCTGAGTGCTTATTAGACTCGAGTACAGAGAAACTTATAAAAGAGTGATTCAGAACACAGGGAAGAAAAGGGGTACTTTTACACTGATTTTCAACAAAG